ACACACACACACATGCTAGCATACACACGCTAGTATACAAACACCATGTTAGGCTAACAGCTGACATATATGATCTTGTCTAAATTTAAACACACTGCTTGAACTTCCTGTTGTCCAGATGCTACCTGTGTCCATATAATTTTCTAGATAGAAATGACTGGTAACTGACATTAGCAGTAATACACATTCAAAAAGTGCAACATGTTCCAGAGACATTTACAGCAAGTGACATTTTACTACACAATTTATTTATTGTTCTTTCCTGACTGTTGGAAATGGCTAAAAAGCAGAAACACAGGGAATTAAAACGGCTTGACTGTTTGTTTTGTGGTAATGAGTAAGAGGAAGTTCGCTGTTTGTCAGGAGTTTGTCAAATGTTATGATGACATTGATCTCTTTTATTAGCTCTTATAATGTAGACTTAATGTCTTGCAGCTAATTATTTGTTAGCATAAAGTAATGCCTGCAGTCAGTGCTGTGTGCGTTCACACGGGAAGCATCCGTATCGATTATATCGACGGAATTTAGAGCTCGGCTCCTTGGCCGTTCCTGTCTTTGTCTTGACTCAGTGAGGAGCTGTTAATATGCAGGAGAAGATCTCAGAGAGACTCTTTATTGTTTCAGCATCTACTTCGAGCTGCTTCGGGCTGCTCCCTTGTCACACATTTGATTTGGCAGTTTTACACCAGATGCCTGTCCTGATCTGACCCCCCTAAGGGGCATATGTTTCTCCAGCTGCAGTCAAACTAGCAACCTATCAAGAGTTATCTACTGCACTGTGGAAGCACATGATTTCAACATCTGGCTTCAACATCTGTATGAAATGAAAAATAAAAGTATACCGTTAAGAACTGTCATATAGTTGAAAATTGTCTGGTTTATTATTTGGAGAAAAAAGAATAAATCTGTGGTTTTGCTGAGATTATATTTGGGTATTGACTCATTAACGTTTTTTAATTTTTATTAAAATGTTAACATTTATTATGGCACAAAAAGCTTTTTTTAAGTGCAGAGGGAATTTTTAATGATATTTCCTGAAAATTCTTAGACTTGCCGAACTCTGAAACCTTCAAAAATCCAGTCTAAACATGTTCTATCTTTCTGTGTCGTCACATTTTCATCAGGAAGCATTGAGGTTTTGAAAACACCAAATGGCCTTTTGCTTTGTTTTCTCATCTTCTTCTAATTTTCTTGTTAATAAATCTAAGTCTAAATTGTAGTATTTGTCTGTTTTTCAGTTGCTGGACATCAATTGGACTGGGCTCACAAATATGTTGGACATTCCTGGTGTCAAGTAAGTACCTGCAGATAATTATTTATAAATAAAATCGGTGTGATTTATGAGGATGTCATGCATTGTTACAGGCTGGATTGACAGTTATTTGCATTACGAAAGCAGGAGACATTCTTTAAGTTCAGTTCAGTTCAGTTCCAATAAACTGGAGAGACTGGCATCCCCACACTGCAGGGAAGGGTTTGTTATGGGAGAGCAAGATGGCTAAAGTCAAATAGAGAAGTTCGGTCTTCTGATTGAATTTTTTCAAAAGCAATGACTGTCACACGCAGTGATGAATCACAGAGGAATGACTGCTGTCCCACTGAGGCATCGTAATAGTGTCACTGGATGTTTGAGGCTATTTTTTTCACATAAACTGTGTTATACTGGAACTATTCTGTCTCTCATGCACAAGCACGCAAACACGCACCTACCGTTCTCTTCCTGGTGGGGGCGTTGTCACCCACCATGATTCCAGAGTGTTTTGTGTAGCTCACATGCTGCCGCGGAAGTTGTTGAGCATGATAAATGTTTCATTCCTGTTTTAATGCCGTGTAAACTTTAATTCCTCGTCTAACATAAAAACCAGATGTGCATTATTATGACATATTGTGAGAATCGCTGGGCACGTTATTTGAGATGATTTAAGAGTCCGTGAGTTAAAGTTGGATGCTGTGGGAGCCGAGAGCGTCTAATCTGTAGTGAGAGGCAGAGAGACGGCTTACCCACCTTTAATAAAACCCAGTTGCTTTTCACTGCTGTGTTTTGTGAGAAGACTTGTTTTCCTTTTTGGTTTCCGTTCAAGAATATTTTCCTTATTCTGCTGAGCTCATGGAAATATTAATTGACCTGGACATGACGCAAAGATTTCAGCTTGCTTCCAGCTGCAGCAACTGCAAAATATTAGTGTTTAACACAAAAACAGGAGAAATCAGACCCTGAATCAGCTATTAGTTCCTTAAGAGTTGGATTGTTTATTAACTCATTCACTGCCAGCCATTGGCAGTGAATGAGTTAAACCCAATGACTCATTCACTGCAATTGACGGCTATAGACGTCAATTGCAGTGAATGAGTTAAAATAGCTGTGAAAACTCTTATTTTGCAAAACTGTGGGGGGAAAAGACACAAATTAGAAGTGTAATTTGGGCAATTCAAAGCAAACTGCTTTTTTATGGGAAATAAAAAGTCTTGTATCACATAATCTTTTATTTAGTATTCATTCAAGATTCATGATTTCTCTTTTCCCAGCTGCCTGGAAGTATGAGCTGAAAACAGACACAACATCAAAGTCTGGCTGAACTAGGATCACTTAATTTTAAATCAGATAATATCTCACTTTCGATGAGTTTCACCACGTTACAGTTTTGGAAGCTCAAACATGCTGATCACTCGGGATCACGTTAAAGAGACACGCAGGCTCTCGGGCTCTGATGCTCAAACTATTACGTTAAAAGCAGGATCGCAGAATGGATTATAACCATTCATTTTCCTCTAAGTGTTGATATTTTTAGCTGCCTTATTATGAAAGGAGACCTGCCACAGACAGAGATGGGATGTTGGTTGGATTTGTGGGAAGATTTTCCAGACAGGAATTCTTTTTTTCATCTTTAGGGACACAGAGAAGTCTTTGGTTTCTAAGCTTTAGGTCTTTTATTCCATTTTAAAGGGAGCAAATGTGTTTGCCAGATCCAGCTGTGTGGTCATTTGTTCCCTTAGTTGAGTGAAATAGATGTTCAGCAGAAAAAGACACTGAAATCTTTATCACTACATGTGCTTCATTTTATGCTTGTCTTTTATGCCTACAATAACTTAACTTCAGAGAAGACCTTCAAGTTGTTGCTCTAACTCGTCTGCCAAAGTCGATGATACGTGATGAAACTTTATGTGAAAAGTGTCTCTGATGCATTAGAGGATTTTTATTTTATTTCCCCCTTAAAGTCAAAATGTAACAACAAACTTTGTCAGTATTGACTTTTTCTGGTTTGTTTTAGCTGAAATTGAATTCACAGACGTGTGTAACCTTAGATGAAAGTAATTGTCAAAACTTCTTCTTATTTTAACTACCAATTTGTATTTTTTACAAGAGAATAATCGTCCTAAATGTTAATAAGGTTTATGTTAATGAATTTTACAGCCTGTGAGCTTCCTGCGGTTTGTGCTTTTACCTTTTGCAGCATTGGAGAGAGCTGAAAGCAAAGGCACATGAACATGCTTCATGTTTGTACAAATGTGAGCTGACAGACTGAGGCTAATGTAATAAGCTAACACTAATAACAGTGATCAGTGATGCAGGTTATTAACCACTTCAGGTTAGTATTTAACCAGGCTTACACGAGGCTCTCGTGGCGCTTCCACCACTTTTACGAAAACAGCATTAAGAGTTATTTTGACTTTTTTGACTTGTGAAGGCAACAAATATAAAACCACGTAGTGCTGGCAGAGAAACAGACAGCAGAGTCAAGCCCAGATCCTAAGACCCGAGCTCTAATTGTCTCGCGCTAACATTGTGGTGTGTTTGCTAGATGGCGTTTAAAGCATCTTCTGTTTAGTTCGGCTTCCAGGTTCTTGCTCTTGTCCGATGGTGTTGCCTTTTAACATCACTGTGCTATTAAACGTAAGTGTACAGTAAAGTGTATATAAAGGGCTGTTAGGAGCCTTTATGCTCTTGATGATTTGATAGTGGTGCAGCAGTTTTTTTGTCACACAGTGTGAGAGTGCATCAAAGTGTGCTTCAGAGAGCCCAGTCTTTATAAAAGTCCATCCAGTTGTTGTTGGGATGTCAGTCTGCACCAGTGTGTTTTGGTTTTTTTTCCCCACTGACTTTTAAGTTCTTGAAGTTCGCTTCATTTAAAACCCTTTTTAGAGCCACAGCTCCCTTCCCTGCCTGCTGTTAGCACACTGCTAGCTGTGTTGTTACGCCTTCATTGGCATGTTGCTGCTGGCTGGTGGTTTACTATTTGTTGTCAGCAGAGAAACACTGTGGTTTCCAAATAACTCCACCCTGTGAAATGTAGCTATCCTTGTTCAGCAAGTTCAAAGAGAATGTGTGTGTGTTTGTGCACTTTTGTGTGTGCACGTGTGTGTGTGTGTGTGTGTGTGTGTGTGGTGATTGAGCTACAGACCTGCGATAGCCCCACCCACCTCTTCCTGTGCGTGAGGGCGCTCATATTTCCTCACTGAGTATTTGCATTTAGCCCCAAAACAGTAGGAAAACCTGAGGTCACCCCTAGCTGCTTCCTTTTTGAATAGCAGCATTAATGCCACACATACACACACACACACACACAAACACACACAACGTTCAGTCTATTACCAAACCGAACTCCTTTTATAGGGTTGATGGGATGTGTTGAAACTTCATTGAGTCTTTAAGCATGGGCCTGGCAGCAGATTTGCACCACTTAATCTCATCTGGAGACAGTTATGTAGTTAAGCAAGCAGCTCAGGAATCAGCGCGTCGACACTAAAATCAAGTTTGCGCTGATGTGAAATCCCAGAGTAAAGCTGACCCAGAATCAGCTGCTCCAGAGGATTAAGTCATCCCTTCTGAAAGCAGCCGATGCTGTTCCTTACACAGGATGCTGCTGCCACCTAGAGGAAAGAGGTCAAATATCAAAGAATGATCCATACACAGTATTTAGTTTGCTGTCTAATAGAGATCATTTTGGCTTAATACAGAGGAGGTGATTGAACTTTTACTATTCAGAAATTCAATAAGAACATGATTCCTCCAGAAACGGTGTCTTGATTACTCCTGTCTTAGAACTGTTTTACCTGGAGGTAGTTGCCACCAAACAAATAGTTCCTGCCAAGCAGTTGCAGCTCATTCAGAAGGCAGAGCCTTTCTGTCTGCTTGCTTCTGCACAGGAAAGATGGTTGTTTGTCTTCTATTTATTTGTTAGCTTTTTTTGTCATCTTTGCATCTGAGGATTACTTCAGAATTTATGTTATTCATAATCAGTGTGCCGTGTGCTTCTTATGGGTGTGGCTCAGATATGTGACAAACTGTATGGTCACCTGACTCTGTCACATATACTTAGACATACCACAGCACTGAATCTGTACATAAGCTGGCATTCACAGCTGGCATTTACTGCTGTCTCAGTATACTTGTTGGCTGTTTCCATTCTGAATGGGTAAAGATCTGTTTTTCAGCCACTAATCATCATGTGAATGTTACGTAAATGCATTTCTGGGACCAGAGGGAAGCATGCCTGAGCACAGGGCCTCGCTTTGCACAGCTGGATATTTTAACACAATATAACATCAGTTTGATGATTTCTTACATTTGTTCGTCATCTTCCGTCTCTCCTTCTCTCCCCGTCCATCACTCTGTCAGTGGGTTATGTGACAACCTACTGCAGGACATCATCTACAGCTACCTGGTGCTGCCAAACCGCATCGACATCCCGCTAGTGTCAGAGGCCCAGATGGCTAGACTGCGCTTTCCCATTCCCAAGGTAACACAATGCAGCCAAGTAAATTATAGCTGCTAAAAAAATATAAAAATAAATAAATTAAACAGGTGAATAAATCTGTAATTTAGATGATTTCCTCAATGCCCTCAGAAGCTCTGATGATAATCTTTCTGTGTCCTCAGTGCATCCTGAGAATCCACTTCATCGAGGCTCAGGAACTGCTGCGTAAGGACAAGTTCCTGGGAGGGCTGGTCAAAGGGAAGTCGGATCCGTACGGAGTCATCAAGATTGGGACGGATCTCTATCAGAGCAAAGTCATCCACGACACCGTAAACCCGAAGTGGAACGAAGTTTATGAGGTAAGCTTCAAAAGATGCTGCACAGAGTCACTGGTGACAAGATTAGAGTGTAATATTGTCCGATATCTTTTTTGTTTTGTAGGGTTGTTGTAACATATAACAGTATTTAATATCAAGGGTTTTTTTCAATCTCCTGATTCAGTTGAGTTTTTCATTAATAAAGGTAATATAATGGGTGCACATTTTTGGCTAAGAAAGCTGTTTTCGCTGTATTTTACATGTTATGCGGCCCCAACTGCACCATTAAAATACACAAACACATAACATGTAGTGACAAGATTTAATATTTAATTTTTAGATTTTAAAGAAACTAAAAATCAAGACTAAATGATGGGTTGGGGGTTTTTTTTGTTCTGCGCTTTAATATTTTGATCAAAAGTCCAAAAAAGAGACCAAAGATAAATCTGTCCATGAGTTTGTTTTTTAGGATGTGATTTAAATATTTATCATGTTCATCTGGTTTGATTTGTGAGCCACCGAAACACATTTTATTTATCTGTTCCCTTCCCTTTGTCTTTGTGGAAGAGGTGAATGAGCAATAATGATGAATAAATGTTTCTCCTGACAGTAAGAAATTACTAACTTCATCTAATTGGATGTAATCTGTTGTCTTGTTTTGATCTGGCACCAGCAGTGGACCTGCTCAGTACAAAGTCAATGTGTTTCCATGCAGTCTGCAGCCGCGCCTTCTCGTTTGTTTGTTTGTGTGTGTACTGTGTGTGCAGTATGTAGTAATGCAGTTTATTTTCAGGCCTTGGTGTATGATCACTCGGGGAGCAGTATGGAGATTGAACTGTTCGACGAAGACCCTGATCAGGACGACTTTCTGGGAAGGTAACGCTGCTTCTTAGGCTGGATTTTAGCTGAGTCACAGAAGACTGTTTTAAAACGACAGCTGTCATCCTGAATTTAGCATTTTACTTTTATAATTACGTGATGGTTAAATAATTATTCATCTATCAAGTCAAATGCAAAAACAAATTCTTCTTTAGTGGCTAAAAAAAAAAAATAAAAGTGTGGTGCTTTTTCTGTTTTTCTAACTTCTTTTTTTAAGTATATTTGTTATTTTTGAGGATGCCACCTTGGCTCGGAGAAAGCATAATGTTTCGATATTTTCAGCTTTATTTACTGTAGTATTAAGTTGATGACTGGCGTTATAAATTGAAACACGCAATTCATATTTAAAGAAAACTTCTTTAAAAAATCTTATCAGTGTTTTTCTCACTCATTTTTACTGTCTGCTGTTTGATGTGATTCGTAACAGGTTTTCATCAAAGGACGAGGCCTCTGAAAGCAATCGCAGCTTTCAAGCCGAATCCTTAGTGGCGTTTAATGAAAGCAGCGCTGCGTGTCTGAATTTCATTTCCCACCAGACTTCATTATTGCGCAGCGTCAAGACACAGTGTGTCGTGTGCTGTGATGAGTCAGCTTCATTCTGAAACCCTCTGTGAAAATTTAATCAACAGAAGGCAAAAATAAGGAAATTCCATCAGCAGCTTATATTTATAACTAATTCATTTTTTTCCCTGTAAAAAATCCAAACACCCAGACAGTCTTTGATAAATGTGAATTGCTGTTATTATTTAGGACTGGGCGTTTGGCAAAATAAGACCTTTCAGGATATTACACTGCGATTTTAAATTTTATTTGTATTTAAATTCTTCATAACTTGTTTTTCCAGTCTTGCAATCAACATGGCCGAGCTCCAGAAGGAACAGAAGGTCGATGAGGTGTGTGCTGCATTCAATGCTTTTGGCACGCTGCTGGTTTAAAGTAACATTTCAGTCGTTTAATTATCCAGTTAGCAATTTTATTCACTTATCACATTAGACTTTAATGCTGTTTTCTTGTTTCTGCACATGCAAGTGGAAACTCTTGGATTTTTCTTTTGCACTTTGTAATAATGTTATGTTTTTGTAAGTTTCAGTAGGACCCTGATGCTCAGGCATATGATGTCATTTGTTGTGTTTTTGTTTGCTTTGCATTATCTGACATCACAATAGCCAGTCAAACTTAATGATGTCAAACAAATAGATTGAACTAGTGAATTTAAGTTGCATTTTTTTAAAATTAAGAATTATTTTTATAACTTGCATCATTTTAAGTAATTCAATAAAAAGTAAATGAGTGATGATATTTGCTGTAATTACAATTTTGCTCTTCCTGAAATATAACAACAACTTTTCTTCACTTCAGTGGTTTCCATTGGAAGATGTGACCACAGGGAAGTTACACCTCAAACTGGAGTGGCTGACTCTGTTGTCCACCCCTGAAAGGCTGGACCAGGTACAGTCGCCAGAGGGAGCTTAAATCCAGCACTCCATTTACATTTTTAAACTCGCTATGTGAGATGTTGTCTTGCTTGGTTGGAACTTTAACTCTGCTTGAGCCTATCTTTGCGTTTTTCCTCCCAGGTGCTGTCGGGCATCAGAGCAGATCGCAGTCAAGCCAGTGACGGCCTCTCGTCTGCGGTGCTCATTGTCTTCCTGGATTCGGCCAGAAACCTTCCGGTGAGTCGACCCGGCCGAACGTCGCACTCATGAACGGCAGCAGCGTTAATTTACACAAATGATGATTATGTTGATATAGCTGCTCTGTTCATTGATCCAAGCGTGTTAAAGCTCAATGAACCAGTGTTTGCAGTGTTTGCTGAGCTCTTAGTTCTTCACTGGGATTTTGTTTTTTCTGCAGTCTCTGAGATCAGTTTTATGTTTAATTTTTGCCTGTATCACTTCGGCCTCTTGCTTTTCTGCTTTCTGAACTTTTTTCTTGTTCTTCTCTCTGTAGTAATATCTGTTGTAATAACCTTAAGCTTTTCATATTTTTTGCAAGCATACAAGTAAAAATCAAGCTTTGAAAAGTTAATGTAAAAAGCTGAAGATTGAAAATTGCTTTGGAAGAGAAAAATTGTCTTTAAGTCAGAAGAGCAGAAGTGCTGCTCAGTACTGACTTCACCTCCAAAGCTCAGCAAAGAGTTTGAGGCGAATGGTTTATAATATTACTGAAGATCTCCATTAAAAAAATAAAATAAACCACATTTTATATTCTAAACATATTCAGCATATTTCCTTAATGTGGTAGTTTTACTTTGTCGTCCTACACAGAGAATACCATTTCAAATTCCCTGTACGGTGGAAACATACATGAACTCACTCGCTGTTTGTGACAGGTGGTAAAAAGCTAACTCTGTTAAGAGCTGTTAATTTCTGATTTCTGTAGCACAGACCTGACCTTCCTCTTTTCAGCCTCCTCTTCTCTGCTTTTCCTCTTGCTTCCTCACCTCCTCTTCCCTCTGAAGGGTGTCTTCGAGGGGAACTTGGGCTCTGGCTACTTAAAAGAGAGGCGCGCGTCGGGCCTCGTGTTTTGCGAGAACACGGCTTCTCTCTATCGGAGCTTATTTGTGAGTCCGCTGGCAGTTTTCTGCATCCTGCAGTGTGAGAATGGCATGATTAGAGAGCTTCCTTGTTTGTTTGCCTGATGAGCATGGATCCCTACGTGTGCTTGGGTTAGATTCCCTAATATAATTATTGTTTGTTAAATTGTTGTTGATTGGTTTGACTGATTCCAAAGCTGAGGAACATGAGAAAGGGGTTTGGCTGGAAGGTGATCAAAACCACAATGATGGTTTACATTTAAGGCCTGTCAAAAGCATCCTTCCTCCACCATTATTGTGTATTACAAGATATTAGTGGTCTCGCAGAATGAGTAGACTTATGGTACATTGTTTCTACTAATCAGGTTTCATGTTCTCTTCACCGCAGCTAATTCAGTGTCTCAACGGCTCATTTCCTCCTAAGAAGTAAGCCATGCTGATGTTTTTCTGTTTGGCTGCCGACACAGATTCCATTTTATCAGAGCAATTGAGTTTTACTGTAAAAGGGTAAACAAATCAATACTGCTCTGTGGATACTGTTAAAAGCTATTCAGTCTTACTCTGTGTTCTGCAATGAGACAGCACAAAAAACAGAAAATAGTTTGAACCATTTCGATGTCGTCTTCTCGAACACATCAGACATCAAAAGTTTACATTTAAGTTCATTTCAGTGCTCACAGACTTGATTTAGTCCAAAAACAGGGGCAAAGTTACTGATCTCAATTGTTTTGAAGTGTGTAAGGAGGAAGGTACGCATTTTGACCACTGTGAGATTTTTAGGTTAGGGAGGCTGAATTCTCTGTGGATTGCTTCCCTCCATCCTTCCTGTTTAAGCCCATTGTGTGTTCAGGTTTTCCCCTTCCCATGTGCCCACTCACTTCAACTCTGACATCACAGGCCAGAGCTCCACAAAAAACTGAAGCCAGTGTGATTATTTTTAAAGTAATGCACAGACTGTGTAATGGCGAATGCTAAGATGGCATTTAATTTATAGTAGACATACGTGTCTCTTTTCAAGCAATGATAATGTGAAATGTGAGAAGCTTCTTTTCATATGTTCCTGCTGAATTCAATCTTTTATCAATACAATGTTTAGGTGTGGCTATTTTGGGTCAGTCCGTTCGGTGAGGCCTGAGTGTTTTGGGGAGATCTGAAGATCTCAGAGTAGCCTTTAGCTGAATGATCTCATTCATCTAACTATTGACTTGACCTCAAGGGTTTGCCTCAGGGGCCTCCTGTTAGAATTCGTGAGGCGTCTTTTATCGAATTGTTATAGATAGTAATGGACCTCATTGGAAGAAATGGTTAATTATAGAATGAGGTATAAAAGATCTGAGAGGATAAACTTCAATGATCATAGGTTATCTGTCCTTGATATCAAGTATCTAACTGTTATTGCATACAAACAAAACTCAACAATAACCAGGTTTTATAAGAGTGACCAGTAAAGGTATCAGCATGTGTATATCTGTTAGTTTAAATGCCAGATAAGCTCACACCCCTTGATGATCAACAAATCTGTGAGTTCCTTAAAAGTCTTACTTCTCATTTCATCACAAGTCCACGATGTAAAAACAAGTTAGAGTTTTTCAGCCCATTTTCTGTGCTGGATCAATGACACGATGAGGGTTTGTATAGTTACATCAAAGCCATTTTATTCCTACTGAACCTTCATATTTCTAACCCAAGCTCATCCCAGGGCGTAACATATTTATTCTGTCCATGGTTGGGCTGTTAAAGTCTCTCACTAATTCCCAAAACCCGACGCATGAAGGCCCACCCTGAGCGTAAACGAGCAATCAACATGATGTTCGATGACAGCCTTACAGTAGCATGTACAGCTACCCTTCCTTTTCCCCAACAATGCTTCTTCTGTCTAAATGAATTGGTTTCTGTCTTTGATGTAGTTGAAAGTTGAATAACAAGGATGCTACATTCTGTTTTGTTGCCATTTCACTCCATTCTGTTCTTGCTCAACACTGAAACACATTTCATTGGGTTTGCTGTCCATGGTCTTAATATCTTTGTTTTCATTCCATTTAGAAATCTTTATATTTGTTCCCCAATCATTACTATATCACAAATCATCTGACTTTCATTTTTCTCTGACACCCATGTATTTTCTTGTCCATTGTATCCACTGACTCTTATCTAATGCTGTGGTATTTTCACTAGAGTCCAATCAATGTGTTTTGGCTGATATTTTTGCATAATAAATGAACTGTAGATCTAAACATCTTTTAGAATCCTCAATATTTCATTAAAACAGAAAAAGACGTGAGTTTTTAATATCCAAACTATTTAATAGTGTCTAAAAGTAATGTTATATCAACTTGTTGTTGATATACAATGTTTTCATTCATCGGTGTATGTCAGCCTGAACTTGCTGTTGGTTGAGCTCTAGTTTTAACCTCATGTCACGGTTTAATTGGGGAATAACACTAACCATGTGATCATCCATGTTGTCTCTCTGTCTTTGTCGGTGCATCCCGATACATCTGGTGATGCCGATGGTGTTGATGTGCTGACACCAATCCTTCCTCCACCTCTTCCCGGCATGCTCCTTTTTTCCCAAATAACCTGGTGGTGTGTGTCTGTGTGTGCTGTTGTTCGCTCTCTCCTTCCTTGTCCCTGTGGGAAAATCAAAGCGCAATCCGTTAGAGTTCAACCAAGCGGGGCTGAGGAAGGGCTCGGTCAGTAAGGCCATCAAGGTAATGCCACGGCAACCAAGCACACCCATCCCGATCAGACACTGAGAGGAAATAATATAAAGGAAATACAGTAACGCTTATGCACAATGTGACCAAAAGTATATGGACTCCAATGTTTTGTTTGAGAAAAGTGTCTTAATTGTTGTGAAATAAACAAGAGCTTGTGGATGTTGGAGTGTCTGTTTTAGAAAGTTACAGATATGGTTTCTCCGACTGTAGATGTTGATAAATTCGATTTCAGTCATCGATTTGGGGGATTTCTAAACAAATTTTTTTTTATGTATGTAGCTTTAAGGTTGAGTGCAATGTTATGCTGAATAAGTGGAAAAAAATGAATGCTGCCATTAAGTTAAAGAGCGCTGTCTAGAATATCAAATGCTTAAGGCTCGCGTTAGTCAAAATAGCATCGTTATATTACCTACGGTCATGTTTATTTGGCGTGTGGCTCTGTTCTGTAACCTCTGGGCATTTCTGCCCCTACATTTGGCAACCATAAAGTCAGGGACCCGAGCAGCAAGATCCCCTCACCCACAACAGTTTGACATTGAAATGTAAAAAATGGTGAAGCTGGAGATGAGGTGGGTTACAGAGTGGCTTGCAGAAGCAGCATAATGACAATTCACCATGAGAGAATTGCAAACCAGCTGAGCCATAAGCTGATGCAAGCTGGCACGTAGATTGACTTTTATTTAAATCACGCCATATCACAACAGTTGCTTCAAAGCACTTTGTATTAGGAGATAAAACCTCAGTAATCAGATGAACAACCACTTGGTGACACCGGGAAGGAAAAAACTCCCTTTTAACAGGAAGAGACCTGAGCACAGGGAGATGGGGCAAAGCTGCTCTACTGGGATTTCTGCTGAAACTGAAGATAAAGGGTGTCCACATACTTTTGGCCATGTAGTATATGAAGCAGTTAAGCACATTCAGGGAAAAACGTCTAAAACTTAAAATACTGATCTGAGTAGTCTGAATTTGTTTCTCAGTTTCCCGTTGTTAGTTTTGCTACTGATAGTTATTTTGTAGTTCTTCTAAAAGTCAGAAGTCACAGCTGATTTGTGGCGATACCCTTTACCAATTCTGTGGATACTGTTACTGATTTAGACACTCAAGACAACTTTTAGGGAAAGTTGTGGCAACCTTAAACAGTCAAGGAGTTTATTTGAAATGGTCAACCAAGCTCCAAGAATTGCATTTAAAATATTTACAGTGAGACTAACATGTCTGTTGTGATGGTTCACAGACCCACTATTAAGAGCTTTCACTGGAACTACTTTCGCCAGAAGAAAATAGTTCCTGTTTGAAGCGATTTGCAAAGAGGTCTGTGGGGATTTTCAGCAAAGACATGCTTCTTTTAAATATTTTAATGTTACTTTTATTGCTGTTCGCAGACTAAATAATCACATCAAACATCTAAAAATCTGGATTGTTGTATTAGTCATGTTCGCATTAGGAAGTGCTGCTGTAGCATCCAGAGCAGCTTCACAACTGATCATGTTTCCTGTTTTTAAAACTCATTAACAAACTCCGCTCATCGTGTTTGTTGACTAAAACCGATTCTAACAGCGTGTGCTGTCAATAACAGCGTTGTTGTTTGAGCTACAGTTGAAATTTTTTGTGACTCTTTTCTTTTACAATGATCTGGTGTGGTTTCTACACGAACTGGTTCTGGGCACTTTTACCTGTTGTCCTTTTTTTCTTTAATTCCTTTCTTGAAAAGTCACAAAATGACACTGTGTGAGATAGAAATTAATTTAATCAGTGGAGTTCAGTGTCACTCCTTTTGTTTCAAACTGAAGTCCAAAGAAACACTCACTCTTGTTATATATAATGCTTGCATACCCAGTCCAATATTATTACTGTTTGTTTGTTTGTCCTGCTGTAGTCTGGTAAGAAGGTGACCAGTGATCCCAGCCCGTTTGTCCAGTTCAGAGTGGGACACAAGTCCTACGAGAGTAAGGTGAGAGCACGTAAAATCCACATTTGGTTGATTTATTAATTTCCCAAGATGCCAATTATGAAAATTGCAGCTATTTTTTGTACATAAAAGACTGATAAATGAATTGAATCAAAGCTTTAATAAATGTAAATAAATGTACGTTCAGGCTGTGATTGGTTCACAGCACGTGAGCCCTGTACCTGTACACTTGCTTCTTGACTTTGAATGTATGATCCATCTTGGCTTGATACTTTCTTCTTCTCTTCCTTTCTGTCTGTTTCCAGACCAAGTATAAGACTCATGAACCGTTGTGGGAGGAAACCTTCACCTTCCTCATCCACAATCCCAAAGTCCAAGAGTTGGAGGTTGAGGTATGAAGACATTCAGCTGATTTTATAAACAGTTAAATGCTTATAAAATGGAATATATGAACTGTAACTTACATTATGCCTTAAAATAAAACTTCATCACACTTAATATTTCAGGTGAAGGATGAGAAGCACGATTGTTCACTGGGGACATTAACACTGCCCCTGACTCGCCTGCTGGAGGCAGAGGAGATGACGTTGAACCAGAGGTTCCCTCTGAGGAACTCTGGACCGAGCTGTACCCTCAAGATCAAAATGGCTCTGCGGGTAAAGGAGCAATGATTTTTTTCCTTAAGGATGATTTTTTTCAGATCTAAAATGATCCAAGCCAATTTCCTTTGAAGCCATAAAGCTCGCCAGAGACGATGCAGGTCCCACTCTGTGACTTGAGAATTTGGGTTTCTAGAGATTCTGATGAAGAAACGCATGTGATGATAGGCTAGGGGAGAGTCTTTGTACATACTGCTCCACTACTATGACGATGCATCGCATTGCTTCTATAAAACATCAAAAATTCAAACTCTTGACCTTATGTAATTGAGTGAATCAAATTCAATGAGTATTTTCACATTACATGTCTTGCTTCTGCATCACTTATTTATAAAGCGTTATTGTTAATGACATTTTAACCTTTTTTGAGGAATCATTTCAACTATGTATGAGTAATGATTTGGATTTTGAATTTCAGCACACTTTCTGCAGAACAGTAGGCAGTGCCTGCACAGGCCTCTGTTTACCCTCATAGGAAAGCTTATCAGCAGTTCTCAAGTGAATGCTAACAGTACTGCTTAACTAAACAGAAGATTTGAGACTGTAAGGCAGCAGTAACATTACCCATTTTTACATCATTAATATTAAAACTAGTTAACCACCTGGTGTCTCTCCAGAGTGGAAAACGGTCTATATGATGCTTTTCTTTTGTGATTAAGTTTACAGAAACCAAACATGCCACAGCGCACGTCTGTGTTGAAATCTTATTTGTAGGTAAACTGACATAAAGATCCACTGACTAACTTTTCCCTAGAACTCTTTCTCAAAACAAAAATATAGAAATGCCTTTTCCTAGGTTGTTTTTTTGTTGCTGTTTATGCCATTCAAAACTGTGAAAATAATTATTCTGATAATGATTTCAGGTGTTGAGTCTGGATAAGGGCACTTCAGCAGCTTCAAACTCCACCCCGTCCTCAGTGCAGGTCCGCAAATCCGAGTCCTCCAACTCGACCCCACGGCCCTCTATCTCCTCAGAATCGCCCAAGCCTCCCGCCTCTACCTCAGACATTCCCAGATCATCCTCCGTGTCAGCCAAGGAGATGCTGAACAGGCAGAAAGAAGCTAAGGAGACTGTGAGGACCCAGCAAAGCATGGACTTTGGGCAGGATGGCAGTGTAGGTGGAGGAGGGAAGAGCTTGGCGGAGACTGGGAGAAGCACCTCAAACCTGGCCATCTCGGGCTCCCAGCAGTACCTGGCCAGTGGCAAGGAGCCAACTCCCAGCATTGCTTCAGACATCTCCAACCCTTACGCTGCTCAGGAGCTGCAGCAAAGACTCGAGCAGTTTCACAAGTATCTATCAGTCTTTATCAATAGTTCCTAATATTTTTACATCTTCTTATATCATGATTTAAGGACATGTTGAACTACAAAGGCAGCTGTTTGGTTGGTGTATAAGTGTGTTTTGATAGTGTGCAACAACAAACCTAAGAGGTCATTACAGCTCAGGTATCGTGAGCATGTTTGATGTATTTTCTGTCTTCATAGTGGTTCAGGCCCCAGTCTTTTCCCCCTGGGGGAGATCCAGCTGACGATCAGACACAGCTCCCAGAGAAACAAACTCATCGTAGCTGTTCACAGTTGCAGGTAATTTTAAAAAAAGGGGCTTTTCTTCCTCAGACACATTAGTGTTTTGACTCTTACCCTTTGTTGACTTCCTCAGAAACCTCATAGCTTTCACTGATCATGGCTCGGATCCTTACGTCCGGCTCTACCTGCTTCCCGACAAGCGGAGGTCAGGTCGAAGGAAAACTCCAACAGTCAAGAAAAACCTCAACCCGGTCTACGATGTGACGTGAGTCCACCCCTCTCACTTTTTTTTTTCAGCCATTTGATAAGCAGAGCAAAGCTCATAAAAATTCACTGTGCCATTCTGCCTGTTTAGGTTTGAGTTCAGCGTTTCCCTCGTGGAGCTCCACAGGCGGAATCTAGATGTTGCCGTGAAGAACGGTGGAGGTCTGCTCTCCAAACACAAAGGCCTGCTTGGAAAGGTGCAGACATCTTTAATTTATTGTCTGTATTTATGTGTAACTGAAAAGCATTTCTTTAACACAATGAAGCCATCAGAGTGGAAATTTCGCTGGTTTTGAGAGAAGCCTCATTTTGTTAGACTTTGTCTAAAAGTTCAAGTATTGCTGTTCTTTCTGCTTCTGGTGTCATATTTCTATGAAGTGCATCATTTTGACCGTATAAGAAAACGTTGTGGGTTTGTTTTTGTTTTTTTTTAATCAGGTTATGGTGGAATTGACTCATGATCAGATCACCAAGGGTTGGACACAATGGTTAGTCGTTCATCTCGCTTCAAATCTATTTAAAACAAATACAGTTTACTTTATTATGTCATATTGAGTTCATAGCATGGCTTGGAGAATAATGAGTTCAAATGTAAGTTTGCTTGTATATATATATTTTTTTGATTGAGTAGATTATCATGAAGTTATTTTTTACATTATATTTTTTGAAATTAATATTGTGAATGCATCAATAGCTTGGATTAGAGCTAGCCTTACCAAGAAACACATCTCACGTGAATATATAAAAAAGGCCTTTCTGTACTATTTATTTATTTAAGTTGTATTGGCCAGTCATTTTTGTGCAGACTGTTTAGAGGCTATTGGCTTTGCCAGTGGGCTATCGTCTAAAGCACAGGTGTCGAACTCCAGGCCTCGAGGGCCGGTGTCCTACAGGTTTTAGATGTTTCCTTGATCCAACACAGCTGATTTAAATGGATAAATTACCTCCTCAACATGTCTTGAAGTTCTCCAGAAACCTGGTAATGAACTAATCATTTGATTCAGGTGTGTTGACCCAAGGTGATATCTAAAACCTGCAGGACACCGGCCCTCGAGGCCTGGAGTTCGACACCCCTGGTCTAAAGTCTGTGGATTACAAATGCATTTCTCTAGGCTTATTTACTGGATAAAATGGCCACTGTTGCTCATCCATCACTAGTTAGCGAAGACTTAGTTCTCAAGTGAAAGAAGATTAGTCAATTTTCTGCTTAAATATTGTGAGATTGATTTTGTAAAAAAGGCACAGAGGCCTGAGGCCAAACATTCAATAAGCTGTATGACAGTAAACATCCATCATCCATATAAATCCATATAAATCACTGGTATAAGGACAACAGTTGGAGAAAGGGCAAATGTGCCTGTAGTGGAGATAAATGAAAGCGATGTGACGTTAAAGGTTGCAAAAAGCTAGATTTCATGGATTATGAAGCAAACTCTAAACTACTTTTTCCCTCCTGCAGGTATGAGCTGAGCTCAGATGGCCTGGCCAAGTCCAACCAACTTTAAGTCGCCATCATTAGTATCGTCATCATATCACCACACTTCCACTTTATATTCACTTCACTTCCATCTCTACAGTACGATGTGTTTTCTAATAATTTTCATTATTTCTAACTGCAAGAAACAAACTGATTAAGAAAAGCAGCTTTTGACACTCATTTAATCACATCAGTCGCAAGGCAAACCTTCCCTTTAAGAAGTGAGTGATTGGCTAAAGGGAGTATATACATGTAGAGAACTATACTACGTTGTGTAGTGCTATGGAAACCTATATTCTATATTTAGAGAAGTGACTGTTTTTTTTGTTGTCTTTCCACAAAGAATGATAGTGTACAAGTGTGTAAATAATGTACAGTGATGCTGGACAAATCAGAGTACAGGGGTGTATTGTAGAAGTGAGAAGGAGTCGTGGTGTCTTACTTGGCCAAATGATTGTTTATAATTTTATTTCATTTGATTTAATTTTTATTTTTTAAATGCAAAAACATTCTGGACAGAGTCGCACCAAAGAGTGGAGTATTTTTATTATTTAGCACAGTTGGGGTTTTGGGTAACACAGCAATACACTGGCTTTATTTCACCGTAATAACGTGTGTGTGTGCGTGTGCGTGTGTGTGTGTGTGTGCGCAAAACCCAAGCAAAAATAATGATATGCACACACGTGTGTTGTTTTATTTGGTGGCATGTTTCTGGGTTTACATTGAAATAAGGCCATTATTAAGTGTTACCTGTTTGTTTTGTAAAAACTGAATATGAATATTGCACTTTTTTTTCTTTGTTTGTTTTTTTTTAAATCTGTTGATTATCATATTTACTCAGTGCAAACATCGCCAAAACTCATCTATAGACAAGTACAATTTTTTAAACCATAAGAGGTGGTAAAAAAAATAGTGTTGAAAGTTCATGGAATAGTTTAACATTTTGATGAAAATGTTTTACTCACAGGTCTCTGCAAGAAGATGTTTAGCTTAGCTTAGCTTAGCCTAGTTTAGCTTATCGTAGCTTAGCCTAGCTTAGCTTACTTTAACAATAAAGTTTGTGTGTCCTTTTGGGGGGATTTCTTTCCTCACTGTTTGGGTTACGTTTAGTCACCACAACTACAGGTTTGCCCATTAAACCTG